TCATTATTTATCACCACCATTATGTTCTCTACACACTGGGGGGTGATGAATAAAATATTTTTTATAAATATTTAAAGGGAGGGGAAACACTGTGTATATATATTATGTACCAAAAGTGGCCCCTCTCCCTTTAAAAATGCATTTTGTTTATCACCCCAGTATAGAATGTAATGATGGTTATAAATAACGAGCTACAATACCAGTTTTGGCAAATTCAGACAAAAAGAGCTAACTGTATATACCATAATTTTGGCCTTGATCCTCATCAGTACAGGGGTGGTGGCTTCAATTTCATAACCTATGTAAATTTATAAAATCAGTCGGCCAAAAAGCTGTTTAAAATTGTAAGTAGCAAGGCAGATTTTCAGTCTAGAATACAACATATCTGGTGTTGTGTTTATCACCATTACATTTCTGTATTAGTGTGCTAAACTAAATGCATTGTTAAAAGTATTTTTAAAAGGAGAGGTGCCACTTTTTGTGCACAATGCCATCCTCTTGCAACTTTGTTGTGTTCTAGCCTGATCAAATTTTGGACAAAAGGACATTGGTCACAAAGTCCACTTCAAAAAGGCACCGCATTTACAAGGAAGTTTATTTGGATATTTTGAGGCATTAAAAGAAAAACACATTTTGAAAAAAAAAAAAAGACTAGAAAAAGGGGCAAATAGTATTCGGATCTTATACTATGACAATGCTTGTTCATAGACAACACAATTGATTTTGGCTATTTTTGGCAAAAAATGATTGAAGCCTTACCTCAGCCATCTTATTTTCTAGATATAGCATCTAATGACTTCTTCCTATTCCCTAAACTTAAACCAGCACTAAATGGAAGGTACTTTCAACACAAGAAATGACTGAGAAATCAGCAAAGCAATAATTACTGGTGCACATGTTCAACGACTCACACTGTAGTCACATAATCCTTTATATAGTAAAAAAAAATTATCTAACCAATTTTTGTCTTCAGTCACCATATTGGGCACATCATTTAATGAATATGTTCATTTTGATATAAAAAAAGCAACTTTTTCATTCTCTATTACCAAGAATAATTAGACATTACCTGCACCACCACAGCATTCTCCAGGGTCTGATGGCTGTCCACTTGCTGGATCTTGGCGTGACAGTCCCGAAATCTCAGCTCCATGATCTTATTATGGATCTCCTGCCAACATCAAGTTAACAAAAGTTGATAGGCCAGGAAGTAGCAACACCACCCACCTGCTGCCCCACAACTGGCTTGGTCTCCTGTCCCGATTGGTCAAATCCTCCATGGGTAAAGGTTGAATTGTCATTATAAAACCTGGACAGTCACCTACATCAGTGGGAGACTACAAGGAGAATTGCTGGCCCTAAACATTAGGACCACATTGAGGAAAATTTCCTCTCATAACCTTCCTGCAATTTGTTGCACACAATCCAACCCCATCTAAGGATGCGAGAAAAATGCTCCCAAATGCAAAAAATTGCTTTGACTTTAAAATGTGTGGCAACAGTACAATTAAAAAATTCCCTTTTTTGTTTTTGTTTTACAAATATTGGTAAGGAGAAACATACCAAAAAGACAATATAATGTTGTCACTACTATTTATTAATCAAATTTTAATTATTAATTTTGGAAGCATCATAAAAGAGGATGAAAGTTTTGCAAAGGCAAAATATGTTTTAGAGAAATATACAAATAACTTTCAAGAATGGATTTAAATATGAAGCTTGGATATGAAGGGTGAGCAAAAAATTAACCTTGACATCTGGTGTCCTATATAGAATTCTCAAGATCCAAGTGGACAGTGTCAAAAACAAATAAGTTTGGAAAATATTTAATGGTAAGTAAAGCTTTCTAAATGAAATAATAAGTGTGACATTTTTATTCTTTGTCTGATGATGGTGACAATGTGGTTGCTGAAACGTCACACACTAATAAATTACAGCCGAACCTCTTTAATTCAACATCCCAAGGGATAAGAGCTTTCGGTTGAATTAAAGGAAGTGTTGAATTAAAGTTAGATGATTAGCTAATCATTTAACTTGATAAAATAATATATATTTTTAAAAAATAGCTTTGTAATATAAATTAATGCTATTAATTGAAACCATTGTGTGTGTACTTTTTTGTAATTATTTTTTTATTTTAATGATTAACTTTTAGTATCAGGGACAAAATAGCATTAATACATATTTTTGAAACAAATAATTACAAATGATATTTTATTCTAATTGAAGAAGAGCAGTTGAAAGGAAATAAATATGGAAAATAAAAAGAAAATTTAAAAATATTATTTAAAAAGAATCATGATCTTTTAAAAAATTCCTTTATAGATGTGTTTTTGCTCTGAAATTCTTTTCAGAATGTTTTCCAAATGGTCTATTTTTAAAAGACATGCATGCTTTTCTTCCTCTAAAATGTCTTTTAAATAACAAAGATTATTTTGTTGAAGCCATCCACTGCTGCTGCAGATGTTATTGATTTTGTGTTTAAATCTTTTATAATAACATGGAAATGGGATATTGAAATAAAATGTTATCATAATCATTGTGGCTACATTTTATAAAGATTTATTTATTTAAAAGGTAATTATTTGTAAATTTTAAAATAACTAAAATACTTCAATGCCGATAATTAAAAATAAAATAATATTATCAAGTAGCGCATGATGCCTAAATTCCCGCGTAAAAAAAAACAATAACACTCGCGGCATTGCACAACGGCACTGCAAAGTGAAACTTAAACTAACCAAAAGTGCGCAGGCCCAATACTTCGGCGCCCGCTGATCATCGCCGCTTTTGCTGCCGTAATACCTTTTTAGCGGTAAAGTTGTATGTAAAAAAACATTCAACTGTCGAAATTCAAATTTTAAAATGGTCAAACTTATCGGAAGTGTCGTATTATCGATATTGTCGAATTACGGTTTGTTATTTGATAGGCCGGAGGTCGAGATATCAGAATATGGTCGAATTATCGCCGAGTGTCGAATTGACGAGATTATACTGTATTTGGATTAGGTCTTACTTTCTTTTACCTTGAAAAATGGAAAAGGAAGGTAGACCAATGAAGGGTTGGTTTGATAATCTAATATTTTAGGTCAATCACAAAACCTTTTTTTTTTTTTTGCTTATCCCTAGTACAAGCCATGATAATCATGGTGGGTATTGGTTGGCGACTGCTCTTACTGTAAGTGCACCACATGTCTACACATGTGAAAGGCAGTTCGTCTTTGCACTTACAAATCTGCCCGAGCCCCGTTTGGTTACTTGCACTTGCTGGTGGGGTTGGACTTTTGCAAGAATAGGGGCAATTGAAGCATCAATTAGCATCAATAAGCATTAATTAAAAAAAAAAGTGCCCAATGTGTGATTCGATTCCGGGTCATAGCAGTCGAAAACCAATGGTTTAGACCACTCTTCCACCAACCCCCAATTTAATACCTTTAGTCTTATATACCGATTTTCCTGAGTACATCAAACTAGCGGGGAAAGAAATTTGAATTTATAGAGAAGTTATAGAGAAATGAGCAAGTATAGAGTATAAAATTTTATATATTATATACATGGTTGTAGGTATTCTATGGATCTCATTTTTATATAAAGATTACTGTAAATTATGGGAGAAAGGAAAGAAAAACAATGGATTCAACAAAAAATGTATACAACTATAGAGAGCCAGTATACATTCTTCACAGTTGTAGTGAGAGAAATATGAAATAGTGTACATTCACAGAAGTTATTTTACTTGAGCAGCCTGGTAAAATTATAGACTGAGCAAAGAAGCACCTACATATGTCACTGGTTACTTTAATTGAAATATTCCAACTTGAAAAGAATGTTATTTTTCTTTCATCACTAATACTCACTCTGGCAGTCGCAAAGGAGAGATAGTAAGATATACCTCCGTTTATATTTTTTCCTTGAAAAGAAACATTTTTTCAGAATGTATTCATGTGATTTTATCAGAAAACAGTATCCTTTGTTTTAATGCCATAGAGCTATAACTAGTAATGGAAAATGCTAAGTAAATAGCTTTTGGTGCAAATATTTTGTTCAGATAAACAAGGTGTGTGGGATGTCTGATATTATTCTAAAAAAACTTTTTAGGTACCAGCAGATAATTCTAGAAGGTATGCTATTAAATCTCAGTGGTTCTTCAATCGGGCACATTGAATGTTTATGCTTTGCTAAAAGTATATCTTGATTATTTTTATCAGTTTGTAGGAGTAGGTTATCTCATGTAACTTCTTGTTTATACCTATCCAATTGTTATAATTTGACATCATTTAGGCTAGTTTCCGTTAAAGGCTAATACTGACAACAATCCATTGATGTCAAAATTCTACCTCACTTGCCCAAAATGTAGCCTGGCATCTGCAGCTTTAGAACACATTTCAGGGGGGTTGGTGGAAGAATGGTCTAAACTGTTGGTTTTCGACTGCCACGACCCGGTTTCGATTCCCGCATTGAGAACTTTTTTCTGATTAAAAAAAAATGCTCCAATGGCCCCCAATTCTTGCAAAAGTCCAACCCCTCCAGCGAGTGCAAGTAACCAAACGGGGCTCTGGCACATTTGTAAGTGCAAAGTCGAACTGCTTTTCACATGTGTAGACATGTGATTTACTTACAGTAAAATCAGTTGCCTACTTCTACCCACCATGATTATCATGGCCTGTACCACGTGTTTTTTTTTTTTTGCTTATCCCTAGTACACGTGGTACAGGCCATGATAATCATGGTGGGTAGAAGAAGGAGACTGTTTTTACTGCAAGTGCACCACATGTCTAAACATGTAAAAAGCAGTTCGACTTTGCACTTACAAATGTGCCAGAGCCCTGTTTGGTTACTTGCACTCGCTGGTGGGGTTGAAATTTGCAAGAATCGGGGGGCATTGGAGCATTTTTTTTTTTTAAACATAAAAAAGTTCCCAATGCGGGATTCGAACCCAGGTCATACCGGTTGAAAACCAACGGTTTAGACCAGCTTTCCACCAATCCCCCGAAAAAAAATTCCCACGCCGGGAATCGAACCCGGGCCTTCTGGGTGAAAGCCAGATATCCTAGCCACTAGACCACGTGTACTAAGGATAAGTAAAAAAAAAAAACACATTTCAGCTTGCATTAAATGCACTAAATAGGACTTTTGGAGGAGACAGCTTCTATTATCAAACAGCTCAAGGAACATGGACTCATGGAATTTGTGTAATCTTTGCACAAAGGGATAAGAAACACAACAATCCTTTCGGCTGAGATTACATTAATCTTTCCTTTTAGTAGTTGCATTGTGTTCTCTCATGTTGTGGGTTGTATATTTAGGTTGGTAAGCCTAACAGCATTTTAAAATAACTTCAATATATCATCAAATATATTCAGGTATTGATATTCTTGTCTGGTATCAATATTTATTTCTAAATAGTATCAATTTTATTAGGGCTCTGATTGCTGATTTACAGACAGTAATTGACTGTTCAAATTAGCTAACCAGCCAATCGGCGTGGAGTGTTTCTTTAGCCCAGAGGCATTAACCAATGAAAAATTCTATATTAAATATAAAATAGCAGTTTTGATTCTAGAAAGTTTTTTTTTTTTTTGTGAAAAAAATTAAAATATTTTTGTTATTCTTTTTAGGTGCTTTTAAAAACATTTCATTTGAGTTGTTTTTATGAATTACAGTAAATCCCTCTATATTTCACTATTATAAAATTAAAATGGAGATTATTTCAGGTTCATTATAAGGGAAGATTCTTATTGTGAGGTTTACTGTATTTTGGCATTAGAGGCCTATTTATTCATTGTATTATAGGGATCTGACACTTGATCTCTTTATTCTGTAATGGAAAATCTTAGCAGCAAGAAATATTTCATTTTATTACGGCAACACACATTTCTAGGGTAAATTATTCTAGATATTTCCACCACAGATGTGGGTTTAACACTCCATATTATTTAGTTCTTAAAGCTTTGAACTGGCTGCTGTTCTAGATCCACTTTTGCTCTAGTTAGAATTAAAATGAGAATTGGCCAGAACAGGGTGAAATGATGTTCCACACCTCCACGTTGGAGATGACGGTACTACAAGACTATTATTAAAATTTTCACATATAAAGTAATTAAGTAATTCATATTTATTCAAGACAGCCTGTTTACACACAAGTTATAAAATACCATCCTTATAGACTGCCATTTTTTGCAGAGAGAACCACCTTATCTCCAAGACTTTACTCCTTTAATCTTGCATTGGACACTTTTTCTAATAAAAAAAAAAATGCTCCAATGAACTCTGATTCTTGCAAAAGTCCAACTCCACCCCAGTGCAAGTAACCAAACAGGACTCTGGCATACTTGTAAGTGCAAAAGTCTGTTTTACACATGTGTAGACATTTTTTCCTGTCGAAGGGCGGTTGTGCCCGAAAGCTTGAAATAATTTTTTTTCGCATAAGACACTTATCCCTCAGACTTATAGTTTTGAACAGACATGTAGTGTACTTAGAGTAAAAGCAGTTGCCAACTTCTACCCACCCTTGATTATCATGGCTTGTACCATGTGTACTTGGAATAATAATAATTTTAAAAGACAACTATTTTCAGCACTCCAAATAAAAAGAAACAGAAGGTCAGTGCTGTAGTTCTAGTACCTAAAACCCTATATATATATATAATTATCTCCATTCTTAGATTCAATGTGTATGAGGCCAAATGGAATCCATTACATTTTTAGATTTGCATACAAATACTAAGCTATTTGAGCTTCATTGTTAGCAAATTTACCTATGGTAAACATTGTTATGGATCAAAATATATATACAGTCGAACCTCTTTAATTCAACACCCCAAGGGATCAGAGCTTTCGGCTGAATTAAAGGAAGTGTTGAATTAAGGTTAGATGATTTAGGTAATCATCTAACTCGCTAAAATAATATTTTTAAAAAATTGCTTTGCAATATAAATTAATGATATTAATTGAAACCATTGTGTGTGTACTTTTTTGTATTTATTTTTTATTTTCATGATTAACTTTTAGTATCAGGGACAAAATGCAAATAATACATATTTTTGAAACATAAATAATTACAAATAATATTTTATTATAATTGAAGATTATAGCAGTTGAAAGGAAATAAATATTGAAAAAAATAAAAATTTTAAATAATATTTTAAAAGAATCATGAAGATCTTTTTAAAAATTCCTTTATAGATGTCTGTTTTTGCACTGAAATCCTATTCAGGATGTATTCCAGATGGTCTATTTAAAAAAAACATGCATGTCTTTCATTCTCTGGAATGTGTTCAAAATAACAAATAGTTTTATTGTATTGAAGGCATCCACTGCTGCTGCAGGTGTTATTAATTTTGTGTTTAAATCTTTTATAATAACACAGAAATGGAATATTGAAATAAAATTTTATCATAATCATTGTGGCTACATTTTATGAAGATTTATTCATTTAAAAGGAAATTATTTGTAATTTTAAAATAACTCTAAAATATTTCAATACTGAAAATTAAAAGGAAAATAATATTATTAATTAGAGCATGAAGCCTAATTTCCTGCGTAAAAAAAAAACAAACAATAACACTCGCGACATTGCGCAACGGCACTGCAAAGTGAAACTTAAACTAAACTAACAGAAACCAAAAGTGCGCATCGCGATTCTATCGGCGCCCGCCGATGCCGATCATCGCCGCCGTAATACCTTTTTGCGGTAAAGTTGTACGTAAAAAAACATTCAACTGTCGAAATTCAAATTTTAAAATGGTCAAACCATCGGAACTGTCGTATTATCGATACTGTCGAATTACGGTTTGTTATTTGATAGGCCAGAAGTCGGGACATCAGAATATGGTCGAATTTGCGTGTGTCGAATTAACGAGCTTATACTGTAGATATTTTCCATTTGTCCCAGCTAAAATAATTTTGTTTTTGTTTGATGAACAACACAAAATGCCGTAGATTATTTTCATTTTCAATTTTGAAGGTGTTAACAAATTGAGCATATAAAAGCTTTGTTCTATGGTGAAACCACCAAATTGGGCTGCCATTTTGTTATGCTATCATTTCAACAAGTGGCAGCTCAGAAATAAAAACATATTGGCAGATTGTCACAAAATATTTTTCATTTCACAAAGTCATCTTACTTATTAATCAATTTAGCAGATATTAATAATAAATTATTATTTGACACCAAACTGCTTAGCACATATTTGGTGAGAGTACCATTATAATGTCCTTTAAAAGTACTGGAGGAGAAATGCCTTTTGGTCTCAATCCCTCCAATGAATGGAAACCCCCTATTTGTACCTCCCAGTGTGACCACAACTTTGGTAAAGGGTGATCAACATCCTAATGGGATGGTTAACACAAAAGGGAACCGAATGAAAGCTGGGATTAGCTTTCAACTTCTTTCTTGTAATAAAGAGGACACTCTCTTGTCCTTGGGGGAGAAATCGCCACAAAAGGTGGAAGAGCTAAATTTATTTGGTCAACAGCGGATGAAGGTACTAGCAAACCACTTCTGTATCGGCCAAGAAAACTATATGCCACCAAATATCAGATCAAATTGGAGAATATTTGTCCAAATGGTCACCAAAAGTCAAACAACTTGGTGGATGCTAACAACAGACCAACAACCATTATATTAGCACACATGTGCACAGAGAGAAGAAATTATATTTTAACCTTTCATTTTTTTGGGAAGGCCAACAACCTTTACCATCAAAATTTTTTGCACTTTATATTTGTTCATTTTCTAGGTAAAAAAGCAATATTTTTACATATATAATTTGCTAAATTTATTTTGTATTGCTTTTGTACTTGAAAATATGCCTCAAGTACGCAAAATTTTATTTTATAAAAGACAACAAAAAGCTTTAAGACCTTTTCCTTATATTCTCCAAACCCAGAATGTAGGGTCCTTATATAAAATAATAAAAATTGCATATAACAGAAAATGAAATTTTTGATGCACTCCACTTTTCCACCTAAATTATAAAATTACAATGTAAATAAGTTATTCCATCCTTCCTTGAACATAATGAACAGATTTCACAGAATTTAGGGCATCTTAGGTTGCAAGAGCACAATATGCAAATTGTTATCCAAGGTCAGAGATTTCTTCTTTTATCAGGAATATCAGTTCTTTCGGTTATAATTATGTATCAACTTTGATGAAAACTTATTTTTCTAAAGCAAATATATAGTTATAGGATAAGGTAGAGATATTAGGTTTTGCAGGTTTTACTTAATTCAAATTTAAAAATACATTTCCCACAAAACGCACATTCTTCAACATTCTATAGATTGTTTAAGCCACAAGTTATAAGCCAGAGCAAAACTGATTGCTTTTATAGAAAAGTCACAGGAAACTGCATTGTGACACTTTTCATTTCATTATAAAAACAAGAATGAAACTGCAAGAGAAAAAGATGGAGTGAGGGATACTAGGAGTGGAGGGAGAACTATTAGTAATTAGATGTCACAATTTGATAAATTGTATGGAACATGAGCTTGATCTGCAATGGATTAATAATAATGAAATTATTTGAGAAGGCAGAAAAAAATCAATAAATTCTGCATTTGTTACATACTTGTTATATTTCTGATATTTGACCATTGAACTAATAAAAATGCTAAACCGTTGTTTTCGACTGCTACAAACTGGGTCAATTCCTTTATTTGTGTGGGCACTTTTTTTTATTTAATAAAAAAAAAATGCTCCAATAGCCGCGGATTCTTGCAAAAGTCCAACCCCACCAGCAAGTGCAAGTAACCCAAAGGGCTCTGGCACATTTGTAAGTAAGAAGTCGAACTGCTTTTTACATGTGTATACATGTGGTGCACTTACAGTAAAAGCAGTCACCTACTTCTACCCACCATGATCATCATGGCCTGTACCACGTGTACTAGGGATAAGCAAAAAAAAAGACTAATAAAAATGCCAATTGGCTAATTAACACAAAGCTGATTCAGTATAACTGTCACCATACATATAGAGATAGAATATTTAAGGTGAACTAAATCACATGTATCTCACCATAAGGTTCCAATCATGATGTTAATTTGTCATTAAGTTTGATGGAAACCATGGTTT